TGTCACAGAAACTGCCAAGGTGTGTACAGTGGCACCTTGGGTTACAGATGCTTCGGGTTACAAACTCCACTAACCAGGAAGTGGTTGCTCCAGGTTAAGAACTTTGCCCCAGGATAAGAATGGAAATTGTGTGCCAGCGGCACAGCAGCAGCAAGAGGCCCCATTAGCAAAAACATGCCTCAGGTTAAGAACTGTTTCAGGTTAAGAACGGACCTATGGAATGAATTAAGTTCTTAACCCGAGGTACCACTGTACAGCTTTAAAAATTACTAAACGTTTACAATCAATAAAAACCACAAGGTTCAATGTTAAGTTTAGCAAGACTAGTAGCTCTGCTATGCTGTCAGGCTCAGGAATTCTATCCCTCCCCCAGTGGCAGCAAGAAGCAGAGAAAAACAAGGTAGAGTCCTTTTTATTGAGTTTATTCATTCATAATAATGAGAGACAAAAGAATGCCGTATGCCCAAACAATGGTGTTGCTCCAACTGAGCTCCTCCTCCCTCCTCCCTAGCAACAGCATTTCCTTTTACTGTGTCTGCTTGTGGCCAACTGTCTCCAAGTTCTCTGTTCCTGCACTCTTAACAAACGCCGAGTTCTGGGAGAAGGGGGGTCAGAAATACTCTCCAGTGACAACGTGTCAGCTGGCTGCTCTGGCTCTTGGCCTTGCCTCACCTCCCCCTTCTCCTAACACTTCCCAACTCTTCTGTTCATCTGTCTCTGAGCTGTGACCTTCCTAAAACCCCTGCTGTAAATCAATGCAGCATTCCTCTTCTCCTGCAGCATCAGGAGAACGTGTGTGTGTGTTGTATAACAACAATAACAACAACAATTTATTATTTGTACCCAGCCCATGTGGCTGGGTTTCCCCAGCCACTCTGGGCGGCTTCCAACAGAGATTAAAAATACATTAAAACATTAAAAACTATCCTAAACAGGGATCTCCACCATTCCTCCTCCATCTCATCCCCTTCAGTCCAGTCCCTGTCATATGTATTGATATTTACTTGTATTGAGATCAAAATACAACAAAAATCAATACAACAAAATCCCATTGAAGGAATGGGTTTCCCAAACCCAACACTGACTGTGCAGGCAGTTTGATACTGCACCAAAATCCCTATTTTTCCTTAGCTAAAATCCATTAACTTGAGCTCTGAGTCAATGTATAAACAAAAACCCGGCTGTGCTCAGAGCCCTCTCCTTTATCAGTTTGTGACGGCAGGGATGACCCTGACTGCACCAGCAGAACAGAGAAGACACGTCTGTACCTTATCTTATGTGCTGACCACAAAAGACGCACATACCTAAATCTGGAACAACGCCAAAGCGTGTTCTCTGAGATGACGACCTCTTCCTCCAAGATAAGAGTAGGAAGAGGAAGATCCTTTTATGGTCAGAAGTACAGGAAGGAATTCCCTTTTATGGTTAAGAATACCAAAGAAAGAAGATATGTGATGTCAACCTGCGTACATAGGCTGATGTGGTTGGATTTATATGGGAAGGAGGGAGAGGGTGCCTGGAGGGTATATATACTGCATGAAACTTGTCATTTCTTTGGACTTGCTGTGGACTTGATCACGCAAGTGCCTTCTGCTATCCGGAGAGCAGAATAAACTCTTTCTTGGAATCAACCTCGGTGTCATTTGACTTCCTTCCTCCTGTCCCGGAGCAACGCAGACCCAATCGGTGAACCCCAATAAGGCTACACCATCATGTCCCAGAAACTGGCATATTTATGACACAATCCATTTTTTTTAAAATGATATTTATTAAGAGTTTTAAAGTTACAGAAAAAGCAGAGAAGAAAAAGAAAGAGAAAAAACAGAAGAAAAACAAACCACAAACAATACAAATTGATAAAAATCAAAATCAAAAAATAAGAACAAAGCACGTAACAGAACACAATCAAAAAACAAAAATAAGCCACAAAAATTTGAAAACAAATCCAATATTCTCATATCCTTGACTGTCATTACCTTCTTTCTTTGACCTCCTCACTCCTCCCTTTTTTTGTATCCTAGTTATTAATAGTCACAGCAAATCCTTTCCATTTTTCATAATATTCTGTCATCACATTACCTTAATCTATTTTAAACTTATCTTACTATAAAAGACCTTAAAACTCAGATCTTATTTATACCAATTTCTCATAACCATAACATATTCTTACATAATTCTTTTAACATTTTTGCTAAAGCCAAATAATTTCGTTCCAACATTTTTCTAACATTCATCAATTTTATAAAACAATCCTAATAAAAAATTTTTTTTCTTCCAATCTTCATCCAGCGTCTCTTCCTCCTGGTCCCGGGTTTTGTCAGTCCTTTCTATCCCATCAATCTATCGCATTAACCTGGTAATCTTATGTCCGAGGCCCTTAAGTCTCGTCCATGTCCCTTCCGCGGCTCTTCTTCATATTTATACCTGTACTTTACTTTGTCTCCTGCTCCTTTCACTCGTGGGAACTCCAACTTAACAGTGTTTTTGACCCTTCTCGACAAATCAATCCCTTTTCCATGCTCCACACTAAACCCCATGTGGTATTTAAAAACATGTTTCAAAGTCCCTCCAGAATTAAGAGCCCCCACAACCCCAAACATCTCATGGCCCATTGCCAGACTTGAAAAGTCCAAACATCCCTGCATAGGGGGGTCTATCCAACCCCCCATTTCCAAACCAAACCAAACTTTATCTTTCCAAATCTGGCTTTTTCCAAGTTCATTTGTCAGATCCAAAAACTCATGTTCCTGCTGGGCCACAGCTCTCTCCATCTCTGGCGCCCGAGGTTCAACAGCATCCTCTTCCCTCATCTGATCTGTCAGAGCACACTCCTGATTTAATTCCTGGGTGGGCTCTATATAGTTACCCACTACCTGTCCGAAATTTCCGATCGCAGCAGTCATCAAGTCCGTCTTCTCATGTAGCTGTTCCAGTAGGGCACTTGTTTTGCAGAAAGCACGCATCAGAGCTTCTGGATACATTGTTCTGCAAGGTCAGAAGTCTATTCCCACGATCATAATCTGCTGCAGCTGCAGAGCTCCCCGATTCAGATTTAGTAACAGTTTCACAGGCTCCCTCTAGTGGAAGAACTTCTATTTGTTCTTTTCTTTTAAAGGCAGATCTAACAACAAAGTTTCCTTTTTCAGATATTTTGTCAATATTTGTTCCTTTAAAATGCGAAGGAGAACAATGGAATCACTATGTTGCTCTTCTTTTAACTATCTGTCAAAAATGTTTGTCTCTGGTCAATGAGCTTCCCAAAGAACGTCAGTCCTGACACCCGCTCCGAGGATCAAGACGGTGGAAAATTACTTTGCTTTACACTCTTTCTGCAGGTTTAAACAGTCCGAAAAAAAATCCCCCCTCTTCTCCTGCTTCCGAAGGGGGTTCAACAATTTTAAATGATGAAAGTTAATCCTTTACAAGCGATTTTCTGAACTCTAGTTTGCCATGTCTTTGCTTTAATCTATCTACAAGAAACGGAAGGCTGACTTCCTGTTTAGACCTTCCCGTTTCAGTGCCAAATTGAGATGAATTTCTTAGTCCAATTTTCCTTCCTACTCGCAGGTCATTATTCAAAGTCCAATTGTCCGAAATTAAAGTACTCACGGGTAATTGTTTTAAAAGCCAAATTGTCCCAGGAAAAAGGCAGCGCTCTCCGGCAACGGCTGTGCGGCTTCGCTCCACGGAAGAAGCAGTTGACTCTCAGCACCGCGCCACTTCCCCCTCTTCGCTCCGGAGCCCATAAATTGTTTCCTTTACGGGTTGGGGGGGCGCTAAAGGTGCCCGCCGAATCCCATGGTCACAGGCTTCATCCGCCTGTGATTTTTGAAAGGGTCCCCGCTTCGCCGTAGCGGGAGAGACCCGTTTTCCGTGGAGCTGGTCCCTCCGGATCAGAGGGAGTCCGCCATTACCGATGGCGCCACCCCGGAAGTCCTATTTATGACACAATCCAAACTGAGGCACTGAATAGCCCTTTGTTTTCAATGGAAGTGGCTAAGCTCATAAAAAAAACTATTTCCCATGGAAAGCGATGAGGCTTTAGCTGGTGTGCCAACTTCAACAGTACCTGGATAAAGATAGCCTTGCCTTATTTACCCATGGTACAGCAATCTCCTTTGAAAGCAGTTTGGAAACTTCAGCTAATCCAGAATAGGGCCGCAAGGTCTTTAACAGGAATCAGTGCCTGTTATCATCTGCACTGGCTTCCAAGCCATTTCCAGGTTCTGATTTTGACCTTTGAAAACCTTAACAGATTAGGACTAGCTGGAACTGGAGATGTTTTTATGGAAAGTGATTCATAAATTAAGTAAAATAATCTTTAGAGGCCCTTCTCTAGATTTCTCTACCAAGGTTGTCTACCCATTTCCACCCCATGAAGAGACTTTACATTTTCTCAGGTTTTGTATATCTGCATTTTAATCAACTTTTTGTGAAGATGCGTATCTTATTATACTGCTTTATTTGCTACTGCTGGTTTTTTGTTCTTTTACTGCTTTATTGATGACTGACATATTGCATTTTAAAGGTAAAGGGACCCCTGACCATTAGGTCCAGTCGTAGCCGACTCTGGGGTTGCCGCGCTCATCTCACTTTATTGGCCGAGGGAGCCGGTGTACAGCTTCCAGGTCATGTGGCCAGCATGACTAAGCTGCTTCTGGCGAACAGAGCAGCGCGCGGAAACGCCATTTGCCTTCCCACCGGAGCAGTACCTATTTATCTACTTGAACTTTGACGTGCTTTCAAACTGCTAGGTTGGCAGGAGCAGGGACCGAGCAACGGGAGCTCACCCCATCACAGGGATTCGAACTGCTGGCCTTCTGATTGGCAAGTCCTAGGCTCTGTGGTTTAACCCACAGTGCCACCCATGTCCCTATTGCGTTTTAGGAGGCTGCTATTGGGCATCATACAAGTACTGTAAGTACAGAAAGCAGATGAATAAAACATTGTCTAACAAGCAATTTAAATAAAAATAAAAATAAATAAAAAATTGTCTAGTAGCACCTTAAAGACCAAGTTTGTTCTTGTATAAGCTTTCGTGTGCATGCATCTGAGTGCATGCACATGAAAGCTTATACCAGAACAAACTCAGTTGGTCTATAAGGTGCTACTAGACAATTTTTTATTTTATTTTTTTTATTTTGAGTGCGTCAGACCAACACAGCTACCTACCTGAAGCAATTTAAATGTAAGCTTCGCTCAATCCCTGTTTGTAATTAGCGCAATGCACATTGCACAACATAAATAGTTGATGCTCCCAGAAGGCATTTCAGATGCAAAGTATATAAATAACAAGTTTAGGCCTGAGCAGTTGTGATGAACCCTTAGACTGTGATGTGGCCCAAGAGAGCCACCTAGCATTTTACATAGAATCATAGAGTTGGAAGAGACCACAAGGGCCATCGAGTCCAACCCCCTGCCAAGCAGGAAACACCATCAGAGCACTCCTGACATATGGCTGTCAAGCCTCTGCTTAAAGACCTCCAAAGAAGGAGACTCCACCACACTCCTTGGCAGCAAATTCCACTGTCAAACAGCTCTTACATCTCTCTCAAGAGAGCAATATCCTTAAATTTCATCCTATTTTCACAAAGGTCATATAGTTCTCTATTTTACAGCGTAAGTGCAGAGCTGTTGGGCAGAGGAATCTAATCTTAATATATTTCTGATTGGCCCCAGAAACCACTAACAAAAGAAATGGTGCATAAGTTTGTCCTGGACAAAAGAATAGTCAATTTTCATACTAGATTTGGTTAGACTGGTCTTAAATTCCCATAAAGTTTTGTTTCTTGGAACTGCCAAGCCACAATCTTTCTCTTGCGAAGAACCTCTCGAGTACGTCTGAAATCCAAGACTGCTCTAGCAGGTAGCAGGTAGCATTTGCCAGTCTTTGTGCACAATTGCATTCTTCTCTCCCTGTCCACCCCCCACCCTTTCGTCAGATAAAATTATTTCTATATTTGGCCTTTCAAAAAACAAAACATTTCTCATTAAAAGTATTTCCCATATACTAGGACATGTACTTCACCCACAGATCTCAGGGCAGTTTACAACATAAAAATACAATATAAAAGCACAAAATACACGATAAAAACAAGAACAGAAAAAACAAACCAATAACCCCTACTCCCACACATTTAAAAGTGGTAGAAGATGTTAATCAGCCAAAGGCCTGGTTGAACGTTTTCGCCTGGCACCTAAAGGTGTATAATGAAGGCGCCAGCCGAACCTCCCTGGGGAGAGCTTTCCACAAATGGAGAGTCACTGCAGAAAAGGCCTGTTCTTCTGTTGCCACCCTCCGAACCTTTTGAGGACAAGGCACAGAGGATGATCGCAAGGTCCAGGTAGGCTCATATGGAGAGAGGCAATCCTTGAGGCATTGCGGTCCTCAGCCACTTAAGGCTTTCTATGTCAAAACAAGCACTTTGAACTGGGCTCAGAAACTAATTGGCAGCTATTGCAGTCAGACCAGGATCAATGCAATATGCTCAAACCGTCTTGTCCTGGCGAACCACCTGGCCGCTGAATTATTCACCATTTGAAATTTCTGAACCATCTTCAGAGACAACCCTATGTATAACATGTTACAGTAACCTACAGGTTACCATACCATAGACAACAATAATTAGGCTACCCCAGTCCAGCCAGGGGCGCAGCTTGGCCACCAGCCAAAGCTGATGGAAGGCACTCCAAGCCACCGAGGCCACCTGAGCCTCAATTGACAGCCAAGGGTCCCTGAGTACCCCCAAGCTACATACCCACTCTTTCAGAGGGAGTGTAACTCCATCAAGAGCAGGCAACCACCCAGCCATCCATTCTAGGGAACCACCCACTAACGATGCCTCAGTCACACCCCAAGTGTGTTGCCTTTACACAATAAAAGACAATTGGCTGGCTTCAGCGTGTTTTACTCAAAAGCGATTCCCTTGAAATAAATGAGCATAGAAAAATGCTGCTATTGCAATCACACCCATTTTGTTTTCCATGTCCCCCATTGAGACACAGCTATTTAGTACTATACGGTAGCCATAAACAAAAATATAAAATAATACTACTGCTGCTACTAATATTTTATTACTTACACCATGCCCCATCTGACCAGGTTGCCCCAGCCACCCCAGGAGCCTTCCAACATAATATAAAAACACAGTGTGACAGCAAACATTAAAACTTCCTGATACAGTTTATATTCCTACACCCAGATGGGCGGGGTACAAATAATAAATTATTATTATTATTATTATTATTATTATTATTATCATCCTGGTTTTCCTCCCAGGAGCTCCAGGCTGCGTCCCTTGTCTTCTCCTTCCTCCCTTTACCTTCACAACATCAATGTGAGAGAGGTTGGGCTGAGAGTTGGCAGTTCAGAAACCAGAGTTGAGAACCTGTACACAGGGCATTTTTTGCTTGTTATTTATCAGGGTTGGCAAACTTTTCTTTTTGCATTTTTATGTAATTATTAAGACTATGGAACATTGCAGTTAAACCTAAGGGCTTCTGTAACTGACATTATATATTTGTAACCTGCTTTTCCATTTGGGAGCTCAAGGTTGTTCATATTATCCTCCACTCCTCACTTTTATCTTTAGAGAAGGATCCACCCTATTCCTATCACTGTGGTTTGTTTTAAAACTGTATTTAATAATGAATTTTATACTGTTGCAATCTGCCCTGGGACCTTATGTAGTGCATATGAAATCAAACAAGCAACACCAGCAATAGCCCTGTGAGGTAGGCTGGACCAATATACTGTATGTAAATATTCTTGACAATAGATTATGGGGTGGGTGGTGGGAACCTACATGCAATGCATTTGGCCCAGGAAATTCTATTGGCACCCTTGACTATAGCTGTGTACACGACAATCCACACTAATCCATTTGATTTTTAAGAAACACTATGTTTTAAATGATTTTTTCTCCAAACCAACTCTGATCTGAATTGGAAAAAATAGACTGCATTTTCAGCCAGTAGTGTGCACATGACCTAAAATAAGGTCCATTTAAGGGGATGTCTTTCCCCCCTAGATTTGTTGCAGAAACTAAAAAAGGCAATGATTGAAAACTCCATTATTATTTATTTACAAGGTTAAGCACCCAGAATCCAACTCATTCCCTCAGTTCAGGGTAAGCCTGGTAGGTTTCTGTTCCTTTGCTTACTGGGCTTCTATAAGGAGGCTTCTTTGTAAACCCAAATACAATCCTGGCATTTTGCTCGGACACTTTGTTAAGCAAACCAAACCTCCCTGTCACCTTCTTAATTACCCTGCTCTTGCAGTCTCTCCTGCTACAGCCAATGGTCCAACTTTGTTTTAACCCTTCTTGCTCTGAAGCCTCTAGTCAAGCCCCAAACTTCTTTTAACATCAGTCTCACACTCTTATCCACGGAACCAGGCAGAGGGCCTTCTCGGTAGTGGTGCCCGCCCTGTGGAATGCCCTCCCATCAGATGTCAAAGAAATAAACAACTTCCGGACTTTTAGAAGACATCTGAAGGCAGCCCTGTTTAGGGAAACTTTTGATACTGGATGAATAATTGTATTTTAATATTCTGCTGGAAGCTGCCCACAGTGGCTGGGGAAACCCAGCCAAATGGGCAGGGTATGAATTTTTATTATTATTATTTATTATTATTATTATTATTATTATTATTATTATTATTATTCACATTCACACTTTCTCACTCAGTCGGTCGCAACTCCTTGCTCTCACTCTTGCTCCTTGTTCAAGGGCACACAGCTACTGTGATCTCCAAGCCTTTCCTCCTCTCTCTTTGACACTTGCAGAAGTCATGCACCAAGGAACACCTCCCTAGACTAGCCATTGCCATGGTACCCCCCCCCCACCATTATGGCACACCCGTCTCTGTATCTGAGCCATCAGCAACGAGGCACAGCAGACAAGTGTAATCAGAGGCATGCCCTCACATTCTCTCTCACACCTATTCATTTATACACATAACAGTTTACTATAAATATCAACACAGAGACAGAAGTATATCACAAATGTGGGGATGATGTTCCTTGTACCTTGTGAAGCGGGACAGGTTGCAGCACAGATAGATAAAGATGACCAAGAAAGCTGTCGGCCTTCATACAAACACAATGGCCAGAAGGGAAGCAGAAGAAAAAGCAAACAATAAAATCAATTAGAGAAGAAAGACAACTGAACTACCAACAGAACCTTTTGCATTCCACTGAGACTACAAACCTCTTGAACTGAAATGCTGATATTCAAGCCTTTTTCTGAAACTGTTCTGCAGTCAGTTTACTTTTTCAATATTATGCTATTTTTTTATCTCTCTCACATCAATTAGAAATTTCATTGTGCATAGGTGTTTTACAGCTGAAACATATATTTGAAATATGCCTAAAAAATCCAGTCTTGCTACTCAAATATTAAACGTTTTAATATAAATTAAATATTAATATTTACATTATAGTGCATCTTTTATCTTAGTGCTTCTTTCAGAATCTCTTGATTGTCTCACAATCTGAACTCACAGAAACTGTCTGATATCAAATTCCATTTCATTTTGTCTTTTATCAAATACATGCAAATAACTAATACTATTACATGCCAACTATAGGTAAAGGTAAAGGGACCCCTGACCATTAGGTCCAGTCGTGACTGACTCTGGGGTTGCCACGCTCATCTCGCTTTATGGCGAACCAGAGCAGTGCACGGAAATGGAAATCAGTATATCAACTGCCAAACATCACTTAGGATGCCAGATAGAGACAAAATATCCGGAACTTTGCTTAGACAACATGCTGAAGTCAGAGAGGCAGGCTAGGCAGATGTCACCAGGGGTAGGGGCACCACCCCGCTTCCCCTTACTCAAGCATTAGTGCCGCGCATGAAAACCACATGAACACAACTGCTAGAAGTACAGAAGAGGCTGTAGACTCCTAGAGGATGAGGGGCCCTTCTAGGTCATCTCGTCCAATCCCTTGATTGATGCAATAATTCCAGAGCAATAGCACCTCACAACAGACGGCTGCTTAGCCTTTCCTTCAAAACTGTCCAACAATGTATAGCCTACACACACACAACATGTAAGAGAGTTTAATTTCATCCATATTTTTAAGCAAACTGACTTCATTTGTGTTGGTTAAAAAATATATGTCTGTAAAACGAGAATTCCTGGATGCCAAGACCCAAGTTTGGGGCAAGTACAACGTGAGAGAACTGCAAGAGAGATTTAAAATCACAAAATATGCAGTAGAGTAAAGTGTGGAAACATAGGCTGATAGACCTTTAAAATATGTCATTGTGGGGGAACTTCCCTCTTCCCCCAGCATTGGAAAAGACCACCTTTGCTAAATTAAAAATTGGTTTATTTACTAACTCATCAAAGGTCAAATTCATGTGCTTTTCCATACACTGGTCAGAAACGTTGCACGGGCAGTAAACTTGGTTTAGTTACAAAGTGGTGAAAGTTCCTAAATTATTTCTGGGGGACCTCAGGAGTGGCTGGTGGGAGCCATGTGGTCTGAGCTGGAGCAATCAACTCAAACCTCTTCACACACTGAGCTTCTCATGTAGACTGGGTGCATCCAGAGACTATTAACCATTTGTTTTGTTTTGTATCGCAGCTGTTTGCAGCTAGACTCTTCTCTCACAAAATAAAATTGCTTTCTCTGTCCCTGTTCTCCTCATTTGGATTCTTTTGTCTCTCAGGATTGGATAGCCCTTCTCCAAGGTGTCTTTCCTCCTTGCCTTCAGCTGCTGACTGCAGTTCCTTGCAGTTCCAGACCCTCAGCTGCCCATCTACACTCTTTGGTCACTGCTTCCATCTGGGTGCCTTGCAGCTGGGGTCCTGGGGCACTTTCAAACCCCTGTAGCATCTCCTCAGGCAGGGCTCTCACCTTGCATGGAGCCACGCTTTTCTGCCCAAGGGGGTTTCTCACCCTCTCAGCTTGCAGCAACTCCATTTTCTCCAGTCAGTGGCTTTTTTGCTGCTGGATCATTTGCTCAAGCTGCTCCATATTTTGTCAGCTTTGCTGCTGAAGCATCAACCTGAAATGCTCCAGGAATGCTGCTGTTCCTCCCTCCATCTTGACTCAAGCACACCTCGCTCACAGATCCAGAAACATGAATCCCACTTGTAACATCAGTGTTGCATGCCCCCCAATCTCTGATTGGTGCAGGATTCCAGGGGTCCCGGGCACTTACTCAGAGTCTGGTTTCCTCAGAATGTGGCATAGCAGAGACTGTGCTGTCATTATGATGTATGGTTTTTTACACATATATACAACCTGAGCCTACAATGGAGGGGCTCATAGCATTAACACCCAAGAGGGTCTTCCTTCTTCCACAGCCACAGTCTTGGATTATAGCAGAAAACAGGCTTGGCTCTGTCTCTCAGCTGCATAGCCTATAGTTTGCTTCTAGCTTCTAGCTCTTGCACACAACTCACAAACAATAAACTTGTCTTGCTATTCCAGCAACTGAGTCCTTGTTGGATCAAGGAATTAGAAAGGACTCGGGCACACAGCCTACTCCTCCAAAACTCACAACACTACTTTAAATTTCTGCTTCATATAAATCATAAAAGGCAGGTTCTCTCACAATGCTCCATTTTCTGTCTCCTCTTCCTGGGTTGAACTAAGTGAATTTTGCCTCCATTCCCACAAACCAAATCATTTTCAACCACACATTTACTGTAGGTATTTTGGATGAATGCCATTTTGTAGCCATTTAATTTGTACCATTTTAAACAAATAACAAATATAAACCTGTTTGTAGAAATGTTAGTGATTAAGCGGTATTTAAATACCTACAACAAATAAATAAAAATCGATAAATTGACATAGGACCTTTTATTCCTGGTAGGTGCGAACCATTGCCCTGATCAGGTTAGAACAATTCCTGCTTCTTCTTTCAGTTGTCTCTCTCCACGCTGAGTCTAATATTTTCTTTCAGATCAAAATTCTGCTTTTTATCCCAATATCTTGTAAGCATAGCATGCTTCCTCTGGGATCATGTCATGTGAAGGACCAAAGCATGGCAGCAGGAGTTATGTCGGCTCTTATGAGAGTGGTCGCTTCTATGGGGCCACTCATATGGTTTCCAAAGGCCTCTGCTGGGATCTTAACAAAGTGATGCCCAGCTTTTAACAATACAGCAAGAGGGAAAGCATACAAAGGAGGGGGGTCCTGGTTCCTCTGAAAGATGGGGCAACAAAGGCTTGCAATCCAGAATAAGAATCTTCTTGGCTATATGAGGCCTCTGCGTTACTGCACACTGATCAGTGGCCACTAGAGGACCCACAAAGACAAGACAGAACAAAACAAGAGGAAGGGAAGAAGGAAAGTTACTTCACTCCTAGTAGGGCTCATGTGCATAGCAGCCAAAAATTCATTTTCCAAATCTGTTTTTTGCACTGTAGCTCTCTGCGGTTCCATGTGTATGCCCGTTGTTTGCTGTTCTCACATTCCATTGCAGCAGGGCCACACATTGTGCCTTAGTTGTATTTTGGAACTAGAGTCATGTTGCTCATTTTAATAACCCTTCATAAGCAGCCCATAAAACCCGCTGACACTCCCTGTAGAAATAAGGAAAACACATGTGTTCTGCTTCTTTCACACTCTTCCCCCTGCCCAAATGAAATTGGGGGCCATTGTTAAATCACTACTATGCTCAACTTAATTTCCATGTCTAGCTAACAAAGCATTTCAGCAACCAACATCACTATCTCACCCTGCTATCAGCCGTGCAAGTGGCTTGTACACTGCTGCTCTAAAGGTGGAAGAAGTCCCTAGTGGGGAGATAGCATCATCATGAAGGTGGTTTTCCCAGGGCAAGGTTAATCCACTGCACTCTGGGTGTGCTGACCCTTGCGATGTCCCCAAGTGCAGGATTTTCTCCACTACACAAGAAGGAAGATACACTTCTAGGTTTGGTCTGGTGCTGCGATGCAGTTACAGAAGCAGGCATCAGTGGATCTGCTGTTGCTTGCGTTCTGGTTGTAAAGCTTTTGCCAGATTGCAACAGCCAGTTATAGATGGGGGAAATAAGCATATTATGTTTGTGAGGGAGGGGTGTTAGGTATGTGTGTAGGGGGTGGGTCTGTCACGCACACATACAACAGCTAGCTAACACTGAGCTTGAGCCCTGAACCAAGAGCTTGAATGTTGGCTCTGACTCAGTTGCTGCCCCATGCCAACCAAAGGGAAGGATTAGGAGAAAAAGAAGTAAGGAAATAGTAGGTATAGCATGGAGAGAGGAAGGGCTTTGAGCTTGGCTTGCTAAGTGTGCCTTCTTTGGATGCAGGGGCGTGTCTATTGTTCCCTCACAGTAGCCCCCCCCCCCCCAGTGAATAAAGGCACTTCTACTCAGAAATATGCCCCATTGAGTGAATCCAGGTAAATCCACCATTGCTTGTGATGAGGCTAAACTCAAACTCTCATTTGTCTCCTGAAGCACATACTCATCAGGGAAGATATGAATTTTTAGGCAAAATGATACAAATAAACAAAAATGGCCCAACATTCCACCGTGCACACAATTTATGTTGCTTGTTTGGACCTATTTCTTACTCTTATTGTAATAAGCCAAAGCTCAGCTTTTTATTCAGACATTGCCATGTTAAACATTTCATCATGTTACAGAAAATCAGGAAGGAGTTTGCAGTAAGAGCTATTAAGAAATCAGGGGTATAGTTCCATTCTGTAAGTGGATGAAATACAGAGTGCATGAAGTTATATGGGGCCATTACCTTCAACAGGCATCTCTCACAAAAAGTTTCCAACCTACCTGTCTGCTTGAACATCCGTGTAAGACCTAGTGGGGAAGAAGGGTGCAATGTATTCAGAAAAGTCAGTCTCAAGTCAACTAAGTTTGGCTTAAGAGAGCCATTTCTAAACTGAACTGAGGAGGGGAAATCACCAGCGAAGATTCTCATGCTGCCCCAGAAGCAACCCAGGCTCTGATCTGGTGACCAACAAGTATGATAACCTTCAAGAGGATCATCAATAGGAAATATCCATCAGAAACGCCCAAGTCTTTCACATGGAAACAAAAAAGCCACAGGTGTTGGGCGGTAAGAAAAAAGCATACAAAATTGGTTGATACCTTCATTAGGACCAGCCAAAATGTCATAAAATAGTGCAAAATGCTTGAGTTCTGCATCAGGAAGATGTTACACAGAACAAGAGGTACAGCGATGAAGAAAAACAAAAAATAGGCATGGATGTTATAGCTATAAGCTATAAGCTATAAGGTCAGGTTTAAACTCAGATCCCAAGATGGAGATAGCAAACTGTGTAAGCCTCTCCAAGATGCTACAGGCATCAGATCACACACCTAAGATTCTAGGACAAAGATGCAGTGCCAGCTCCCCATTTTCAAAAGCAAAAGGGGACCCACCTGTGCCACATGCTTTAAGCCAGAGTGGGGAACTGAATCTAGTCAAAGGGTGGTTCACTTTAGGAATTAGGTGGCGTCAATCATATGATGTCAGGAGTCTGTAACTTCCTTCTGTGGCTGGAAGGGAAGAACTGGAGCACACTCATAAGTGCATTTTGCAGCTCTGGCTTGAATTTGGCACTGAGTGAACTCCTGATTCTTCCTTTTGAATGTGGTGCTTCACCAAGCTGAATCTTTACCAATCCCACACCTGTTGTCATATGACTTTAGCTGAAATGGCCCCACAGCCCAGATGGGAATGCATGACTGGCCTAGTTAGGTCCAGGGACCAGAGGGTTCCCACCATTGCCTTAAGCAAAAAACAGGTTCCTAGGGAGCTGAGGGGATGCAACACTCCACATTAATAGATTTTGGATATAAATACACACAGTCCCTTCAACCCTGACCCTGATTGCAATGTGGTGCCTTTCTGAGCCTATTCTACTCCTCAACCCAGAACAAACCTTCTGTTCCATGGCAGTGTTGTGTGCATAAAAGGTAAAGGTACCCCTGCCCGTACGGGCCAGTCGTGTCTGACTCTAGGGTTGTGCGCCCATCTTACTTAAGAGGCCAGGGGCCAGCGCTGTCCGGAGACACTTCCGGGTCACGTGGCCAGCGTGACGAAGCTGCTCTGGCGAGCCAGCACCAGCGCAGCACACGGAAACACCATTTACCTTCCTGCTATAAAGTGGTACCTATTTATCTACTTGCACTTAGGGGTGCTTTCGAACTGCTAGGTGGGCAGGAGCTGGGACCGAAAGACGGGAGCTCACCCCGCCGTGGGGATTCGAACCGCCGACCATACGATCAGCAAGTCCTAGGCACTGAGGTTTTACCCACAGCGCCACCCGCGTCCCTGTTGTGTGCATACCCACCCTTTACTATGAAATCCCAGGGTAGGTTGCCATTTTCTTAAAATATTTAAAACAATTAAGATAGATTGCAATCAATAAAATAGGGTGGGTCCTACTATATCTATATCTCAGGTGTCAAAGGCCAGGCCAGGCACACACCTTCAGCATCTAATCTAGCACTTCACCAGGAAACAAAGCAAACTGAAGTGGAAATGTGGAGAACCAAACATAAAACTAGGAAAATGGGAAACAGAGAAACCAGAGCTGTCAGATTTGCCCATCCATAAGAGACACACTCAGTGGTGTGATGCCATTGTTCGACAGTCATCCTTCCTTTTTCCTGACCCGCTCCAAGTCCATGTCAGAATGGCATCACATCTCAAGAAGTGGAACATTTCAGAGGTAGAAATAGATGACTGATTTGAGAAGAGGGTGGTGGGTGACTAAAAACAGCTTCAGCCACCTCTGTTTTATTGCACATAGCAGCAGAGCCCAATGTGGCAAATGATATGCAGTTACTTGTTATAACAGGGTTAGCCCATGTTGGTGCCCTACTACCAGACTACAACCTTTGCTGCTCTCGACTTCCCTAACCATTGGTTTGGTGACTGGGGCTTACAGTCTGGAGGGCACCACCTTGGCTCTTCCACATTAAAGTACCGTGGTATCTCGGGTTACATACGCTTCAGGTTACAGATGCTTCGGGTTACAGACTCCGCTAACCCAGAAATAGTACCTCAGGTTAAGAACTTTGCTTCAGGATGAGAACAGAAATTGTGCTCCCGCAATGCGGCAGCAGCGGGAGGCCCCATTAGCTAAAGTGGTGCTTCAGGTTAAGAACAGTTTCAGGTTAAGAACGGACCTCCAGAACGAATTAAGTACTTAACCCGAGGTACCACTGTAAGTATTTCAGACTCTTTCAATGCATGTTTCTAATAAGATTTAAAGGAGCTTTTAAAGTTCAGCCTCAGTTCTGCAAATGGTAACTCTTTCTATGTTGCAAGCTGTGAAATTGGCTCCAACCACACCATGTTTCTCACAGCCAGGAATCTGCCACACATCCCTCAAGTAACCTGTCCCCATTTTGCACCATTCACAGGTCAAGGGCCTAGCTAATAAATGAAAGCAAATTTAAGCCCTGCTCCTACAACCCCACCCATAAAACTGCCATTTGAACAGAGCAGCAGCTCATCCCAGATCAGGTTGATATAACCTCACAAATTAAATGTGAATCAGTGAAGATCCTTTACTTGAGGGCATTTAACCAACCAAGTCTTTGCTGAAGAGAAGAATCCTATCCCACTCTGTACCTTTGTGCTTTACTTGAACTATTTTGTGTCCCTGAGTGGAACCCAACCTACAGTCTTGACCATTGTCATGTCTCTGTTGAGCATGGCTTGCTTGGTTCAGAGCATTGCAAGATACCACAGATAACACAAACGTAGGGGAGAGAATGACATTAATTTTCATAATCTGTCAGTAAGCTTCCATACAGTTGCAGACAGAATTTGTGTAAATAGTGTCCAAACTGCAGATAATCAGAAATGTGACACTGGAGTTGCTAGCAAAGCATAACACAAGGGCCAATAATCTGTGCCTATAATCTAGCACCTGACACTGGTCTAACTTCTTACTTTGAGCTGCTCACAAACCAGTCACTTGCTTTGTGATGCAACTACCAGCTTGACTCCAGAGCACCAGCCCTTACAGTATTATTAGTAACACTGAATTAGAATAAGGAGAGGACTCATTGTTATGAAGTCCAAAAGGCATACTTGCTATTGAGAAGAAGCCTCTGCAGTCTGATCTCAAAGGGAAAAGCTACTATGTGCAAACACAGCTCTAAAAAGTCCTAAAACCTAAATCCCAAACTGAGAATTATTGTTCTATTTCCAGCAGACATTAGTCATTGTGATGTTTTGGGCAATTTTGATAAATGCAACACTAACTGCTCTGACATGACAGCTTTGAGAGGCTGGCAGTGATCAATATATTCTATCTGCTAGATGAATCCCTGGAGTTATTAATCTTCTTATCCTAAGAATACATGTATTATTTTTAGAAGAACAAGAGATTGTTTAACAACTATCAAGTTATTTTTATTATACACAACCATGTATGAACAAACATCTACAAATCACATTAATGAGAGGGCCATCAACAGCCTTTTAATAACTGTGGCTGGTTCAACAGCTACGGTCATTACTGGACTGGGAAAGCCTGGCGACTGGACTTAACTGTCAGGGGTCCTTTACCTTTACCTTTTTAATATGGTGTGATGGTGGTGGGAATTAATGGAGGCAGACAAAAGCAATATCAGGGTCTGATCCAGTTGGACTGTCCTCTCCCTTCCCCATCACAACACCAACAGACATCCTCTGCCCTGTGATAATATCAGGGCCTGCTCCAATCAGAGAGTCACCCACCCCAGTAAGGTACAATGGACACTACCTGAGCCAAAGGCAACATCAGACCTTGTTTCAACAATTGCTCTGTGGAAAATAGAGAATGAGGTAGGCAGGCAAATTAACATCAGGGCTGCTTCAGTTGGATTGTCCCCTCCCCTGCCTCTTATATCATTTATTTGGTTTAATAAATTAAAACTGTATT